CCGCTGGTGCAAACGACTCTGCAGTTTAGAAGCACTGTAGGTCGGCTTACATACTAACATATTTACACTCTACTAACAATGCCGAGGTTTACGAAAGAGGAAACTTGGAACTCAATCTGCATTCTATTGTTACTGAATCTGAGGTGATCACGCGCTATAGCTAATCGCATTTGCGTCCCGAAGCTCAAAGCGCTTTGGAAAAAAAACACATCGTAAGAAATAAAGCTTCTTGTACTTCCCATCCCTACGTTAAAAAGGTGGACTTCGAACTAATTTTCACACTTCGCTTTTAAGTAGCTTGAAAAACGGTTGGCAGATCTTGAGATGGCGCTTGTGTACGGTAATTTAGTCATGTATACGGACAAAATCGGAGTACTGATTGGATAAGTCATGAATTCTTTCTCTAACAGGCATGTTGACTGTGTTTCAAAATATTAGCTTGGTTGTTGAGCCGTTTTTCAGACTCATTCTCAAAACCACTCGGATAATGTTAAACGAAGGGAACGGTGTTCGTTGCAAAATTTCCTCGCCTTTTTAGCAGTGGCGTTTTTTTAGCGATCGTCAAATAATCGCTAGAATCTTCAACCATAGTTTCCACCTCCGCTAATTTTAGCTATTTTTAGAAATTTTTGTGACGTTTGAAATGCTTTCACAACGGTTAGACGGAGCAAACAAAGCGCAATACACCTCTATCTTGGCATCTATAGCTAGCTTCTTGAAATTCTTTTTTTAATTCAAAAAAGTGTTCTTCCATACTACAAATCCCATATTTGGGCATGGTAAACCTCATAAAACCGAGCGGCTAGCAGTTAGGCTGCCAAGCAGTTTTTTCCAAGCAGATTTTTTCTTCCCTTTTTAGAAAGTGTTTATCTTTCCCGATTTATAATGGCGCGGATAACATCACCATTATTTTTGTTGTTGAACGCGCCCCAAGTTGCCAGGTATATCGGGAGTCCTGTATCAAAGCTGAAAGCGCTCAATCGCTTAGCTAATTAGTGTCATCACAAATGAACTTTTGAAACTTTCAATAACGAAGAATTATTGCTGTTTGAAGCATTTGTGTAAATTATGGCTTCGCAACATATTGAAAAATGCAGGCAAACCAATTTGAGACGCCAAATAACCTATTGTATTGTACTTTATTACTCTACTAACTCCTATCAAAGCTTTTCCAAGAGCTTAAAATGATTTTGGATTTTAGCCAGATTTACGGTAAGTGAGAACCGTGTATTGGGAAAACCGACATTTATTCGCGCAGTCATCAAAGGGAACAAAAACATCACTGCTGAAAAGAAGAAATTATACCTTGAATACGTTTGTCTATCATTATTCTGGGTCAGCTAGAGATGAATATGAAAAAGCACAAATCTCCTGATCGAGCGCATAGATCAAAACAACGTTTTACCTTACTCATACGATGGCTCGTCTTCACGTGGCGTGCAAGCCTCAGCACAAAAGTTTCCTTATCCCTGTCCCTCGTTTCAAACATTCACGATCTTCTTGGTTGTTGTCGGTGGCTGTGTCTACAAGTTCCAGGTGCGATCTGTCCAGCTAATTTCTCAGCTTGTTCATCCGTTCCACAAACACGTCTGCCCATTCGTTGATGGTCTCTCGAGGACGTTTGGCTTTGCGAGGAATCCCCTCCGATGTTTTTAGTGTCCATCTGTCATCTGTTCTTCATATAATGTGATGACTGGCCCATCGATGTTTCGCTTTCGCAACGTATTC